TACACGTGAGTGATGACCTTTGGAGCAAATACTGCATATGTTGATGAGGAGCTGCATGCCTAGGTGTTAGTCTTCTACCAACCACCTGGTTCTGCACCCCTGGACATTCACATCCTTTTAGCGGCTTAGCCCAGTCCCAGACACACCTCCTGACTGGTGCAGAAATATGCCCGTGCCCTCACTTCCAGCACTGAAACACACAGAAATCTCTGATTTGGCAGGTACTGGGGGCAGTTTGTGAACAGGAGCAGCAGCCAAGCCAGGCAGAAATCTGTTTGCCTACGGTAGTTGCTCCGGGATGCCCGTTGTGCTGCTGATGCTGCACCTGTGCTGCTAAACTAGAGACTGTTGGTGCAGAACAGGCAGAAGCTTTGTCCGGCCCATCCTGCTGTGCTTTGCACCGCCCCAGCGTGATCTTGGCACGTGCGAGCGGGTGTCCTCTCCGCCAGCGTCTGCCAACGTCAGGGTTGGCACCGGGGGTGGCATCGCTCCGCTGCTCAGTCGAGATGCGGCGTGATGGCACAGCGGGTGAGAGAGTTTCCTGGCAGCGACCTGGGAGGTGCGAGAGCAGTGGGGCTGTTTCCTTCCCTCGTGTCGATGCAGCTGGTTAGAGTGGAAGGATACGTGCAGCAACGAGCCCCTGACTGCAAACTATTGGCTTGGCCCTGGCCCTCGCCAGGAAACGCTGTTGGAAGCCAGTCGAGCAGGACACCCTCGGCAAAGCGCCGCACAGGATGTGAGTGTCTGCTACCCATCCACCCACTCCTTCTTGCTGCAGAAGAGATTTGGCAGATTTAAATACCTGCACTGAACAGCTGCACGGACCATATTTCAAATTCACTGGTATAGAGTCTTCTCAGCGGTGGAGGCATTTGGGGAATTGAAACTAGCATAGCAGGAGACCTTCACTCGTATGAGTTTTTTGGTTCCATTCTCACCAACCATAACCCTGTGTTGCTGTTGGCATCTGGTGTGATGATGTAGGTGCTTGTGCTCTGTTTTCTCAACTCTCTGAAAACTGCCTTTCCTTTAAATGTAGACTCTGTGATTTTAAAGGCATTTGGATTACAGCTCTCTATGTAGGAGGAGAAACCTCCAAGAGGGGCAGGGACGCTGAAGGGGATGAGAAGAAACTGGGGTGAGTGCAATGCAGTGCCTTACAAACCCGTCTGATGTTGCAGTCACCTCGTTTTCATGCAGGGATGCCCCAGGTGAGACACATCCCGGCAGCTCTGACCTGCCCAGTGCTGAAGATGCCGGGCACGTCTCTGTTGGCGCCGGCGCTGCTGCGGCTGCGGGAGAACACACCTGTAAGTGCTCAAATGCAGACATGGGCTCGCCGAGTCCACCACACATCTGGGGACAGAGGGACCAGGAAAAGCAAAGCAAGCATGACTAAACATGAGTGAGGACTAATAACACAGACAGTATTTCTGCATTTCATGTCTTTCCACTGTATAAGGCCTTTGAACTGCGTTTTCCCAGT